CAGCCGCTATAGCACCAAACATTCATCCCCAGTAGTTAAACTTCTTGTTCCATTTCTAGCGCGCTGCCACGCGAATGGAGTTATCCCGTTTTCTATGAACTACAAAATTCCTTGCGTTATGGTGTTCAGAAAGGATAGTGCCACCACAATTTTCTAGATACTTACCTCTAGCGTGGTCACCCGAAAGGTTTTAATTCAAAGAGTTCATCCCCGACAGGTAAACCGATACAAAAGCTCTCAAGAATCTATATTATGTTGTCAGAGTTTAGTAAAAACGATAACTCCACAAAAAATATAAACACTCCCCCCCCCCCCCTCCCCCCGCCGTTTGACACCGAGGAACCGCCCCCCCTAAAATGGAGGTCTGGATCCGCCCCTGGTTCAAAGAAGCAGTATCACGTCGGACGCACCAATATCTTGACACGAAAAGGAATTTTAGAACGAATTAAACAATTAGCAAAGAGCACCTGGTGGATGTCGCTAACGCCTCGTTTGTAATGCCCATCTAGGAACCTGGAGAGGTGGTGACGTTTGTTGTCTCGCCTCCGGCCATGACGAGAGAAGACGGAAAGGAGGAACTCCCCTCTTCCCGAGAATTCCTTTTGTGCGTTCCAGATGTCGCTATTGTCCCTCTAAAAGAGTATAGGAGGTTTACCCGTCACTCAAAATTCTAACAGAAGCAGCCGCTTCGGTGGCTGGAACGACTAAGCCATCCCCTCGACGTCAGCCTCGCGGTAGCTTTGCTCGTCCCGAGACTACCTACGTCACGATTGCGTCGGATGTCACGTGCTTTAAGCTGGACCTTCTCCGAGCGCTTGCCAGAATGGGCCGTTTATAACAAAAAATAGAGCCACCAGGCTCAAAATACAAACGTGCGATTGTCATTTACGGATATTATGAATCATATTCAACCTATTTTTGAACGCGACGGATATATTTCAAATTTCGTTGAAAACGACCACGAACACGGTCAATGTCGAGGTTCTGAAGTCCTTCCGATGGATGCGAACAAGAACTCCGGTGCTTCTCGGACAGCAGTTTAGAGGGCTCAAATTGTCTGTTTATCACTTTCAGCAAAGAATGCAGCTTTAAATATTTAGCATTATGTTTTTTCCCCTTTGCGGAGGACCTTCTCCTGCTGCGGCAACGAAGACTGGATGACGTCCAAGCGACCAGATTCGATGCACCAACGGAGCGAACTTGCGCGAAACTGGCCAGGTACGTAACACGCCCCAGAGATATATGCTACTAGCTGGCGTTTTACTCTGACCTTGACAGAAATCCCTCAAACATGAATTTTTGTCTTTCTTTGTCCCGAAGCTGATACAAAGAAGGTTTCTAAGCATATAACTGAATGAAAGATTAGTTTTGTTCTGTGGTTCAGCCAGTTCAGCCTCAGCAGTGTTCGTGAAAAAAGATAACATGGCAATGTTGCCAATAGGCCTTCTTTTCGTTTGGACCCGCGGCACTACGACGGTTCCAAGGACTTTTTGACTGGTTTTTAATTTGCTCCGAACCTGAGCGCACTAAACGTAGTAACTTAGTGAAGCTTTTCTTTTCTCGAATTTCGCTTTATTTGAAAAGTTATAGGCAAATTAAAATTACACAAACAAGCAAAAAATAACCTCCTTCATGACGTCCTGGTTGCTTGAGTGGCCGTGAACCGGTGAGCTCAGCGAGCGCTCACGGCTGCCGCACTCCGTGCCGGTGGCTCGAGAGGGCGCCACTAAAGCATGTGCTGGGTAGGCTGTATGAAGCAAGTGGCCAGGGAAGCTCGCATCGCATTTGCTACGCGATTAAACACTAATTCGGCGTGACACTTCATTGGCCACAAACGACACCAAACACGGGGTAAAGATCAGTCAGAAGAGGAGCCACTTCGCGCTGCCATACCAACCGGTCGAATCCTCGACCGCAGTGCGGCGCGTACATCCGGGACCTTTCACCTCTCAACCCTCGTCGGTGCCTGATCCCACTATCCCTTTCTAGTATGCGCCGCCTTTTCCACCGCTTGGTGACGGCAGACTTCTACCGTACGCATTGCAAGTAATCAAATTACTAGCAATCGATTACTTTTTGGAGTAATTTTGTAATCCGTTGATTACTTTTATTGGGCAGTAATCACAAGAGTAATCTGATTACTTTTTGAAGTAATAAAAATTACTTCTAACCGTTACTATCTTTCCACGGGACACCCCCTCCCCCCTCACGCACACACACACAAAAATTTAAAAAAAAAAAAATTTGCTTACGGTACCTGCTTGCAGCCCGTATTAGTACCAGAACCGAAGAATGTCTAAAGCGTATGCAAAATATAACAAAACTAGTTAAAATATTTCCCTATTTCCCCTACGTGGTCTTTATGACAAGCAAAGTTTCGAGTTGAGAAGTGGTCGGGGCGATCTCTTCCGCTAATGGATACTACACATGATCCGTTTCAAATCCTGGAGCTGCTGCTCTTTTGTATAACATGCGAGTTCATCAACATGTGAATAATAAAATGAGCGACGCAAACTTTGAGCGACAACCCTCGCTTAAAGGGATACTTCAACGAAATTTGAAATATTCCCGTCGTGTTCAAAAATAGGTTGCATATTATCCACAATATCCGTAAATGACAATCGCACGTTTGTGTTTTGAGCCATGGTGGCTGTATTTTTCGTTATAAACGGCCCACTCTGGCAAGCGCTCGGAGAAGGCCCAGCAGAGACCACGTGACATCCAACGCAATCGTGACGTAGGTCGTCTCAAGACGAGCAAAGCTACGGCGAGGCTGACGTCGAGAGGACGGCCTAGTTGTTCCATCCACCGAAGCGGCTGCTTTTGTACGAATTTTGAGTGACGGGTTAATCTTCTATACTCTTGTAGGGGGACAATAGCGACTTCTGCGACACACAAAAGGCATCCTCGGGAAGAGGGGAGTTCCTCCTGCCCCTCTTCTCTCGTCGTGGCTGGAGACGAGACAACCTCCGTCACTAGCTGTCAAGGTTCCTCCTAGATGGGCATTACAAACGAGGCGTTAGCGACATCCACCAGGTGCTCTTTGCTAATCGTTTAATTCGTTTTAAAATTCCTTTTCGTGACTTTTTTAACAAGATATTGGCGTGTTCGATGTGATACTGCTCCTTTGAACACATGTAGACCATAAAATAAGCGCCGAAATTTCGTTGTAGTATCCCTTTAAAACATTTTTATGATGTTACTACGGTACTACCGTCTGTACACTCGTTTCGCGGGTAGGGCGTGCCAGTTAAAATAGTTAGAAACGCGTTGCAGGGTGTCTTGAAACATTCAACTTTGCTCAAATATTTACTGAGTAGTATATGAGCTTCCAACATATCGTAGGCGATTATGCGAATACTATCCAAACAGTTGTTCTCAAAAGCCCGGTCCCCCCCCCCCCCCCCCAATCTGCTATTTGCTGGGGCCTCCTCTCCCCCCTCCCCCTCATACAACATTTTGTCATGGGCGGGCCTCCCCCCAAAAACAAAATCCTGGCTACCTGCCTGGTAGGGAATGTCCGCATACGAACGTTCCTAGCATCTAGGGAATATTCGCACAACATTGGGTACTACTTAAGATCTTCAGTTCTGGTTCCTTCGTCATCGATAACCAGTTGGTCCTTAAATGTTAATCACCGTTCACGAGATTTTTGCGCCCGGGCTGCGGGAATAAAATCGAGAGTTGTCCCAATACTTGCGGGGGGCTTTTTACATAATCGATTAGAACTACGAACTTTGGAATGTTTATGCCAACATTTGTCTTCAAACTTTATATGTATAGACCTTTTCCGTGTACTCTCGTCCCCAGCCACCAAATAGGCGTATCCGGTATGGGCGACGAAAAAATAATAAAACGTTTCAACCTGTAACCAGTAAAAAAATAGAAGGGAGGCAAAATGAGAATGTATGACGGTTACGCTTATATCCCAAATGACTTCTGTTGGCGTGGCGACGGCAAAACGATGTTTTCGCCCATACTGGAAGTGACAACAAATACACCCTTTTTGTTTATTTTGGATAACACGTTGCCGTAGATTGCAGGAATATTTTGTACCCTGTGACACTGCTCCCCCTCCCCCCCCCCCCTCCCCTCCCCCAATTAAAAAAAGAAAAAAGAACGACAGGTGTGATCGTTTTGTCCCTGCCAAGGAAAAATCCTGCCGACTCCCATGGTATCCCTTTAAGCAACCAGGATACGGTAGCTAGTAAGGGGGCTGAATGGCTGTTGTATGAAGTCCTCAAGGAGTGGGCGCAGGTGGGACAGGCTATTTATGGTTTACTCTGATCATCAAAGTAGCTGCAGGTTCGAGGATTATCGGAAGAAAACTTTTACTTCCTCACCCGATAGTAACGGCTAATATTCTATCTCTCTCTTTTTTTTTCCCCTATCAACTTGTTTTTTGTGTCCCGGTCCCTGCTGTGAGGGCCTTCAGTCGTCTAAACTAGGTGGCGCAAGCTACACCCTAGCCTACCACAACAAGTATTCAAGTCGGTACCATCCCTCTATTTAGCCCGTTCAAAAACGCCAAGTCTGGCTTGGAAATTGGACATCGGCCAACCTTGATATTGAGGGGGAGGAGGAGGGGGAAGGGTTTGCTGCGATCTAATGAAAACAACAATCGAAGGAAAAAGAAAAAAAAAACACACGCACAGAAACGAGTGCTTGTTGCATTTTCGAAGCGGGGACGCGCAGCCCCGGAGAAACTGTAGTTGGGACGCTTCTCTTTTGCGGGTGCTGTTGACTCCGCCACGGGCAATGCCGCCAGCGGGTTGCACGGAGCCTTTGCGGACTGCACCTCGCCATGGAAACGACGCGAGTGCCTGAGCCGCCGCACCCGCTTTATCACCCCAACTCCAGGCGACGCGAGACAGCGACGACGCCTAAGCCTAACCCGTGCCCGTCGCTCGCTCGAGTCCGTCACCTCGGGCGCTAGTCCCTCGATGCGTCTGCGGCTTTCCGCTATGATGGACGGGAAGCGGAACGACTGACGGCTGTGCGACATGTTTTCGGCCCGAGACAGCACCGACCCTACCACCGAAGTGGACAGCCAAGAGATTGCGTCCAAGTGGAAGGGACTACTCGTCGCGGCGCTCAAGAAGGTAGGGAAACATCCCGTGCTTTTTCTCGTGACGGGTGTCTTCTGTTTACAGGTTGTTATACGCCGTGAGTGCTACTTGTTCTGCAAGATTCGTATGAGCTCGTGCTAGCGGGTCATGCTTGAGAAAGCACTCAACGAACGCCGGCAAGTGTACGCTGGCCGCTTCGTTTATTGCCCGTCCCCGTGCATCCCTTTTTTGTTTCTTGTGCAAGTTTTGCGTGCTAGCGTTAGCAGATATTTTCGCGTATCTTTGGAACGCATTTGTCTTGTTTACGCTTGCAGGTTTTACCCAACAGCCAGTTTGCGCTGGAGGCGAAACGCTCTCTTTGTAAACAGTTCGGTATACAATCGCTGTGGTGTCTGCCCTCCTCTCACCCGCGGAGCAACCTATCTTTTTCCTCAGTCCTATGCTGCTGCACCGTACAGTGCTTCCTAGCAACGGCAAGTTAAAGGGGAAGGAGTTCGACTCGCCTACGTCTCGCTTTTCACGTGCACTTACTCGTGTGCGAACTTCCCTTGCACGTTCGTTTCACGTGCAGTTTAAGGAAGAAAAAGAAAAGTGCAAGCGCCACCACAATGTGCCAAAGCCTCCATTAGTAGTGATGTCCTTGCTGCGATTCCACGCAACTTGCGTCGAGATATGCTCCTTATTTGTTTTTTGCACTAACTGTCAGGTTATGCGGGTGCGGACGGCGCTACGCAGGGGCAAAGATTACCGCAGTTGTTGCGAGAGATATGTGCATAGTTTCGAGACGCTTTCAAACTGACGTTGAGTGTGAAAACGGGTCTAGCGTCGTGCGCGATCGCCCAAACAGCGGCATTCGTGTGTACCAGCATCTTTCTATTCAGCGACACGTCAACTAGAAGGAACTGCGACATCAACTTCACATGGTGTGCCGTCGTGCTGGAGGTTGCAGTAATGTCTCGCCATGCTCGTAATCTTGCGGGCGCAAATGCACTTTATGCTATGCTAGTTTCGAACTGTAGAACCTACACAGCTTTCCAGTGCTTAGCATCCGGGGTGAAAAATGTTGAGTCACCGGCCCAAGGATGCATGCAAAGAGAGCTACAGTACATACTAAGCACATGTTTCACAGCCCATCGGACAAAATGGCAGCTGATCAGAATCGAACCAAATAAATCATTGTCACCGTAATATTATGTCAATGGCATTTCCATGTTGTGGCGACGGCAATTGCTCCTAGTCATTTTTCCGCACGACAAACATATTCAGAGATTTCTTTTTGTGGGGTGCAAGTGTTTTTGGGAGTGTGCTCTCAGTATGACTGTTGGCAGAACTCTTTTGGAATCATTGAATTGATTGCCATGACAGACAACAATTTGAACACTTACCTGCAGTTTGAAGAGGTGGTAGAGAGTGGCTTTCTCCCACAGACAAGTCACCCAAGCTCATACCAAAGGGATTTCTCCTCTCTCTACTTGTCAAACATAGAGAAAGGGAATGAGCTTCAGTCCTGCTGAAGATTCCACAGGTGCTGCCAGCCAGAAAAACCTGCCACTGACCGTTACGGACGCAGCCTGTCAGCAGTTTCAAGACTATGCTGAATTTATTTGTTGTGAATCATACCTTTATGCTGTCCGGCGGCCCGTTAAAGTTACTTGCCTTGTTTTGGCTCTACTGTGATCTCAGCTTTCAACTGGGTACGACCACTCTCTTTGAACCTTACGATGGACCTTTGGGAACGCTACGAGCCATCCTAAGCCAATGCAGCGCTGTGGACATATCACGTAACTGCACAACCCCTTCAGGTTGCTGTGCCCCTCCCGAAGGTCACGTGCCGCTAAGACAGCATTGGTTTGGCTTCCTTCGGTGGCTCGTGGCATCCTCTGGCGTCCATCATAATGGAAAACGGAGTGTTAGTCAAGAGGTTGATCATTTACCGCTGCAGCTGAAAAGTTCCTTTATGGCAAGCTTCGGATTAAAAGAGCAATCAAGTGTAAACTGCAATGTGAAGAAGAAAAAAAAAAAATTGAGTTTTCGCAATCTTGTTTTATTGCTTCAATGGTGCATTGTCTGCAGAGGCGTGCGGAGTTCAGTGATCTTGGAGACAACCAAAGCAACTAGGCCGACAGCAGATGGCGTGGAAAAGCAGATGCGCCGCAATGCCGGTCTCCTCTTTTTCTGAAATGTTGCATCTTTTTTTTTTTTAGTGGATTCTTTTTTTTATGACATTTACAAAGGAAAAGTTTAGTCAGACAGAAATGATAGATAGCCCATGTTGCACTTGTGCGGGACAATACTCTTTCGTGTTGTTGGTTCGTTACGGAGGAAAAAATTCAAGTCTGGTCGAAGGCTGTTCTATGAATTTAGCTGCTGCCTCGCGGAACAAGTATAGCTTGTTAATCTTGTAACGTTTGCACATACTGAGTAATGATCTCGTTTTGCTTGGGATGAGGAACATCATTTCCACAGAATGTTGCTCTTGTTGCGTGTCCTTCCATTTTTTGCCGGAGGAAAATGAAAAAGACTGTCCTATGGTTTCAGTGTAATTTATGCTCCTATTTTTCATGCCCCTGAAAGACTGCAGAATTTTTATTACAATTCCAAGCTCATCATAGCATAGAATACTTGCACAAAACTGTCCATGAAATGTTTTTTGAATGGCCTTTCTGCTCTCTGGATTCAGAGTCTCAAGGGTTGGCTTTACCATTTGTTTCTGTTCCTGCGTTAATTTTCTTTTTTTGTGAAATTGTGATAAATATTTTAAGAAAGGGGCTTTGGAACTGGGGCTACCCTCCACCCTTGCAAAATTTAAACATTTTGACGGAAAATAGCAAGTTATATTTGTTTGCATGTAGTGTTACAGATGACGATAAGTTTGCTTGCCCATATACGACAACTGGTTTTGACTGCTGCAGAGGGGAAATTTGACCAGTGCAGTGTGGTTTTAAGGAGCACTCCGGCGATTTCTTCATGGTCCCCGGTTTGCCTGAAAATTTGCTAAACAGATCAGCAAACATAGCTGAAATAGTATCTTAAATAGTGGTCAAGATGTGGATTTTACGGGAAGTTATTGAATTTACAATTTTGGTCCTCACCGTGTTTTTCAAACTGAAAGTCTCTGCTGGCAACAACGAAAAGTGAAAAGCAGCGGTTCACTCTTTGGATTTTAGAATAGACCGATCTCACCGACCAGTTTGACTACGCTGCCGCAATGCATCGAGGCAACTTTAGTCTTTTTGCATGTGCGACAACCTCGCTGGGATCTCACCGACCAGTTTGACTAAGCTGCCACAATGCATCGAGGCAACTTTAGTCTTTTTGCACGTGCGACAACCTCGCTGGAGCTCTTCGCGTGTAGAGCACGAGAAGGCACGAGCCCTCTTGTGCACAGCCGTCTGCCTCCTGTGAACTGAAGTTATGGCGGCTTTACGCATGCACCCAACGCTCAGTGAGATTGGTCTATTAGTTCCCAACTGATTCCAAGCCGTTTTATGGTGTCTAATGAATGCTTTGGAAGCTCGCTCCAGTACCCGTGCACCAGGACGATGGAACAAATGCTTGGCATAGTCTGTTTTAAACTGTTTCCTCGATCGGCGAGCCTGCCTACCACTGCCGTCACGGCACGGAAAAGTGTGGGTATATTTGAACATTTATTTTTGCATCATTTTAATTTTCCGATTTCACAATAACTATTCTGAATTTCGCAATACTAAATAACATACCGGAAGGGGTAAAGGCCCGTATTCCGAAAATATATTGAGTTGGGGTAGCTCCAAAAATCACTGTGGTACCCCTTTAACGTGATGACACAGATGCGTGCTTGCACAATCTCAGTCTGCAGCTCAAGCTTTTGCTCTGCTTGCTGCTTAGCTGTCGTGTGTTTGCATACTCTTCTACCAATCCTTCTCGAGGAAAAGTAGAAACGTACTGGGGGATCAATGGATTCTGGATTCAATCCTCACCAATGCCCATTTCGATCTGGCCGAGCGTCGTACAGTGTACATTCATGTAATCAGTACCGTGTGGTGCACGCTACCATCCCCCAGCTAGCAGACGTACTGCTAGCCGTACTAGCAGCCGCTCGTAGACACGCGCAAGACAACGCATTTCTCGTCTGCAGCAGAGAAACCAGATGTCTATTGGGGCTGACTGACCTGACTTCCTGCTGTCTAAACATGCACACAATGCAATTTTTTTTTTTGGATACTGGTTATTCATTTTCAGAAATTAGACGGCTGTAGCGTAGAGTTATTAAAAGGTACGCTAGAGGTTCAACTATCGCTAGTGTCTATGCAACTTCCGGGAGGCAAATTAAAGCAGACAGCAACCAGTCTTTGGTTGCTGTCTGCTTCTGCGCATTCCTATGGGAAAACGCACATGCATTTTGTCTTTTTTGCCGCAAAATAACATGGATAACTTTTGCTATTTGGGGCTTACCAAATAACATGTACCTTTGTTAACATTGTAAAAGTGTAATTGCTTACAGCATTTTTCATTACCACTGAAAGATGTTAAACTTAACTATGTTTTAGGCCCAAACCTCTGTTCCATAACAGGTACGTAAAAACGAGCAACGATTCTATGCAAAATAATAATTGGAAGGATTGTATAATGGGTGTTTATGGTTCACCAGTATTCCGGTGGTGCTTATATATTGCTTATATGCCCGTCCTCTCACTATATGAAAATGATTCCATTGTGCATCTTTACGAGTAGTCAAGAAGCATTAAAAACTTGAAGAATAAGGTATGTGGGCTATAAAAGGTGCCTTTTTATTATTCCCTATGTCGGGCGGCTTTTATCGGGCACCTGTTCTCCGGCCTCTCCCTTTTTTCAAAGATTTCGAGCTTGCGAGGGATGTTTTGGATGCAGAACAAGCACCTTTGCACATTTTCATGAGCAGAACGAATAGTAGAGTACTTATTTATTGCAAATCGGACTATATTACGTGGCCTCCAATTTATTTTGATTGTCTTATGCACAAGGAGTTTCTGATCCAGTGTTACTCCACAGATCTTGCTGTCTCTCTTGGTTTT